CAAAGAAGTCTAATAAAAGTAGTTGGCGAGAATCACACGTGATTCATTTATAATCATGATTGCTAAATAGCTAGTCTTTCTGATAGGAAACACTTGTAGATCTCAAGTATTTCCTATCAATCTTCGAAAAACAGGAGAATTCTCCACAAAAATCCACACAAAATCACGAAAACAGTAGATAATTCGTATTATTTGATGAAACAGAAACGAAAGTTAGCAAGATACAGTTGATCCTCAATTCGAGAGGAGGATCGTTCTCTCCCAAATTCTCTAGACGTCGCTAGAGCTCAAAGGAAACCTAAACCAAAGAGATCTCAAATTTCAGCCAAATTCAAGATGCCCTAACCCTAGGAAACAAACTATTTATTGCATACAAATCAAAAGGAAATCCCTAAACAGTCCCTGCATTCAAATTTCCCTCCTAACTCTCTCAAAAATCCTTCCTAAATAGCTCATGCAAGCCCGGGCGTGCGTGAAGGCACGTACAGGAGGCGGACATTTCCTCCTCTGTTTGTGTAAGCCGGTCCCGTTGAACCGGCTGGACCGGTCTAACACATTCATAACTAATTGATTAATTTGGAGAACATTTGTAAATTAAACAACTTATTATAAGGTTGTAGGCCAATCAAATCTTAGTGGTTTTGATTTTATATTTGAATTTGCTAACATAAAAGACTAAATGTCTACATATGAACAATTTCCACAGTAAAGGATAGCAGACAATGCCTATAATCTTATCCTTATATGCATATAGATGCATGCATGCTATGCATCAATATAAGCACAAGTATATGTATTCATACGTATAAGCTCCAATCCTAATGGAAGGAAAATGACGCTCTTCTTTCATTACTTATGTTCATCTTTGAGCACTCCAAATCAAAATCAACAATGCTGATCTTAATCTCCACCAATGAAACTAGAATGACGCCACGATTTATTTGATTCTAGGAGTGTTAGGTCTTCGATCAAGCATGTTCATTTTTCAAGAATGGGTCGGGGAATCAAATATTGTGATTCATTATAAATTTTGAATGGAAAAAAATCATTAGAATTGAATGAAACTTCATGCGCATGCCTAACTTTGCATTTGGAATAAAACATGTCATTTGACTTTCAAAATCACCCTAAAATAATCTTCAGCGTCATTGAGTCAATATTTTCCTTCCTGGCTATTTCTCAGGAGCTTGATAATAATCAACCGAGTTTATTTTAAAAAATCATGATAAAAATAAATTTAAAAAATGACATGACATTTTTGCTCTAACAAAATTGGAGACTGCATTATCCATATTATGTAAAACCCGAAATTTTGATGATCATAGGCGTCGCACGCATTTCAATGCGTCGCAATGAAATTTATGTGAAAATTTAAAGTTAACGGATTTCGACAGAAATAATTTTATAAAATTCTACGCAAAATTCTAAATGATTTATTATATAGAACTTATAGACAATTTCGCTTAAATTAGGTGATAAAAATTATAGAAACCTCTAAATACACAAACTACCCCTATTCGTTATTAAAGTCGAAATTGTTTAAGTGAGGGTATAATAGTCTTTTGGAAATCCCTATTTCCCTAAATAAGCAAAAACCGAACCCCTCCCTCATTTCATTCGCACGAATCGGCCGAAGCCGGGAGGGGAGCGGGCGGACGGACGGGGCTTCGGCGGGGTGGGTTCGGCGAGAAAATTAGTGGAAATCAAAGAGGAAGTCGAGGGGAATATTAAGGTATGTTTTATTTGAAGCGAATCACTCTCATTCTCAAAATATTTGGAAAGAAAATTTTTTTAGGGTTTTCACCAAATTTGTTTTTCTTTCAAAATTCCTTCACAAAGATGTTTATTAATTGTTTTTGGAAGATAATTGTGGAATTTAAAGTAAGTTTTATAAGAATTTTTAAGAATTGAAAATTAGGGTTTTTACCTAATATTGAAATCCCTTAAGGCGCTTTTACAAAAATAATTTATATGGGTCCTAGGAATATTTCTAAAGCAAAAATTTTGAATTTTTGTAAGAATTTACATTTTTCATAATTTTCTAATTTAATAAATCAGAAAATGATTAAGGTAATTATTAAAATATGTTTAGAAAAAAATTTGGTGTATTAATTTGATGAAATTGATGATTTAGGATTTCCAAAAATTAGGAATTTTAAAAAATCCGAAAATTAAGATTAAATTATGTAAATTTATTAAGTGTCGTAAGAGTCGAATTAATAAGAAGCGAAGAGTTTAGACAATTTGGATTTTTATTAAAGATTTAAGAAAGAATTTTAGCTGACACTTATTTTATGTACTTATTAGGTTATGATCTTCAAGGGGGGCAAAGCGTGTCAAAGCGACACTTTGAGGAAATATTGTGCTTGTGTTAAAATAGATACTCATATTTATCATAAAAAATTCATGTATTGTTTTGCTTTTCTTTTTATTCAATTGCAAATGTTTAAGGTTTTAATGTTCAGATGATATGAATTCTATCTTTCAAATGGATTGTTAGTATAATGTTTTTATATTGCAAAAGATTAATAAACTACAAGTTATTCGTGGTTTTCATATTTTGAGCAAATGACTTATTGATGAAATTAAGAATTCTGTACTTTTTATTTTATTTGAACAATCATATATTGTGTTTTCTATTTTATTTTCTTTTCTTTTTTAGCTATCCAATGATGGGAAAGCATCCAATGATCATGGTAGGTAGTGCATATGGCTTGGTAGACCTTTGGTTTGTTGGCTCGATTGGTCCCTGGCTGATGGTGGTTCACGGGTTGGCTGTTTTGGAGCATTTGGTTTTGAGCTGATTCTCTAAGTTGCTTGAGCTGAAGTTTAGTAGCTCATTATTATCCAAAAAGGTACATCATTATGAAGTTTACTTTTGGAGTGGCCTTGTCCCTTCCCCTTCCCCTTTTCTTCTTGTCTCTTGGAAATCCGTGGCTTGTATTAATTGGGGGCTGGATTCTATGCTGTGAATTCATGAGGGAAATTAATGATTTTAATGCTTGACATTACTGTTGGCTGATATTTCTATGCATGGCCTATTTCCGAAATTAAGTCTCCTTGGTTCCTTGAAATTCCCCTTTGATTCCTGTTCTGGCCTCTTCTTTGCCTATAAATTGGAAATGTTGTTATGAAGAAGGGAGTTGATATTTGTGAGCATATTTGCTATTAACCTGCGGGTTTATTCGGAAATCCTGCGGGCCTTTCCAACCTTCGTTTCTCATCCCCTCCGGAAATCCTGCGGGCTCTTTCCACCCTTTCTTCTCGGGCTTCTAACCTCTTTCGTCTCTTCGCAAGTGTCACTCCATCTGTATCCTTCTTCTCAAAGTAAAGCAACTTTAGGGTGTCGTATCAGAGTCGATTTGAAGCATCTATTGAAGAATTGGGCCAATCTTGCAGTGGTGGACCATCGGTTTGCTAGTTCTATGCACTTTACTTATTTAACCTACAAATTCGATGCATGTGAGGAACCCGCTCTGACGGTTGTCTGAGGATAGCGTCTTTTAAGTTTCTTTATTTCTTTTAAAATCTCCTAGCATCTTTTGTTGTGATTGTCAAGTTTTGGGTCGTTTGAGTTTATTTAACAAAGTTTATTTTAAGTTCTTCTCATTTTGTCAATTTTCCTTCTTGTGTGTCTTTTGTGATCAAGAGATATAGGCTCCCTATATCCCTTGTCTACATCACTTATGAAATATGATTATTTTTCATTAAGCATGTGATTGACTGAAAAATAAATATGAAATTGTGCATGTTGATGCAGAGTGCCCAAAATGGTAAAGGTCAACAGAGACAAATGGCAAAGGAGGCTCTTCAGAGCCAATGGTAAAGGAATGGCCAAATGATATGAAAATGTGTACCTGATCAGTACAAACTAAATGGACACCTCCGAGACGAGTGATATAGTAAAAATTATAGATATTATGTTTTATGTATATTTTCTAAGATTATTTGAAAGTTTATATTTGAGGAAATATTATATGAAAGGTTTATGATTGAGGAAAATTTATGAAAAGGTTTATTATACATAAATGTTATGAACTTATGCAATTATTGACCGTCATTTAAAATATTGACCGTCATTTAAAATTTCTTATGAAAAAGATATTTTATTTTAGTTTTATGTAAATTTTTATGAGAAATATGAATTACCTGCTGAGCAAGTAAGCTCACTCATGCTTGTGGAAATCTTTTACAAGAAAACCATCTAAGAAGTGATGACAACGAGACGACAGTACACCTACCGTCATAGAGGACCACATGAAGAAAGATTTTATAATTTTTATATGATATGAAATGTTTTATGTGTTTTTCGTACGACTGTCTGTTCCCGCCCTGTTATTTCGAGCTAGCCTGGCCGGGTCATGACATATTATATATTTAAGAATGCGTGTGTTTACATGCACACACTTGGACACATACAAGCACATGTGTGCCCACATGTTTGCCTGCACACGCATCGCAAAAGTTACTAATATGCCGAGTGATATTAGCAATATGTCAAGTGATAACTATAATAAGAAAATTGATAATCTAAAATAATATTAAGTTGGTATATACCCACCTTAAAGTGGAATAAGATTGGTCAATTTATGCCATTTTAGTCCAAAAAATATCAACGTCATCTCCAAAACTTGTTGGTAAATATTTGAGAGAGAATAAGAGAGGTCAAATGGTCTGTCCAACGCATTGTAAAGTGTTTTGGGCATCAGTGTCCAACACAAGACAATAGCATCTAGAGATGTCCAGCTTCATAGCCACCCTCCATGTCTGAGTATAATTTCATGTCAATTTGTTGTATGAAACACAACTCTTTCCATGAATTTTAATAATTGGAAAATTACTTGAACGGAAAATTTGTAAGAAAGCAAATTTAAAAGGTGAATAAAAAATAGCAAAATTATACATAAATTATTAGAAAATTCATATTTGGTCACATGATTATTCATTTTAAAAATTAGAAATTTATGGATAAGCCTAATTAAGCAACATTAGACATTCACCTTGCGGAAACCAATGGAGATTTCTCCATCATTTTCTGAAGCGGAGAGTTCTAGCTCAACCTTTTCAAGACCTTTACTCACAGCCTGCATTTCTTCAGCTACCATCTTTAATTGAATCTGTTATTCTTCATAGAACTCTTAATCAGAAAAAATAGCAAATAAACAAAGTATTGGAAAGGATTTGAAATTTTCAATTCTATTTAATTCGGGATATATTCACACAATCCTGCATATATACCACGCACAAGCAGAGGTAGATTAGAATCGGCCAAGCCACTTATATATTGGGAGAAGATGGCACACACATACCTTAGATGCCGCTTCCAAATGAATCAAGTCTTTATAAAAGTCTAGCAACTCGGGCATTTTTTCAGCAAGAAGCTACAAGCAAAATTTGATCGATCAAGAAAATGGAAACATGTAAGAGCGACAAATTATACATGGGATGATATAGAAGAAGACAGTTATCTTTTGATACCAAATTGATTTAGATAGAATTGCAGCAATAAGTGTTGTGTAAACTTTCGAAGAAGAAGAGGAGAAAAAGATGAAGAAAAACTCCACGTACACAACAGAAAGCTCTGTAAATACAATTTGGATTAAATGAGGAAGAGAATAGCACTCATAAACGGCCTCATCAATAATTCATTCATCAATAAAATAATGAAATGTTTGTACAAAGTACAAACAATCTTATTTAAAACCAAAAATAAAATTTAGGGAGAGATTATTGTTAGTCATATCACTTAATAGAAATTTTCACCTTATTTGGAGAGCAAGTCTTAAAAACTTAACTAATTTGTAGTCAAGTTTGATTTATTATAATTGGCCTGCGAGAAATTGATCTTGTGTAGGTTTATGTAACATTCCAAAATTTTGAGAGAAAAGAAAAAATATCCTCAAAATTTACCGTCTCAGAATTTAAAAATTTTAAATTTATAAAATCTTACTATTTGTAATAATAATTTTAAAGTATATACACCTATAGGAAATACTAACTCTATAAGCTTGTCTAAATTAAATTTAGTTTTATGAAAATAGTGTTGCAGTTTAAAATTGGTGCATCTAATTTTAACTGGTGCATCTAATTTTTCTTTGGTGGCTCTTTAAAATTTTGAATTTCTTCTTGAAATTCTTCAAATAGTGTTGCAGTTTTAAGAGGCATGATGCAAAATCACACAAATCCAGTGAATACTTCTAAAAAAATAGAAATATGCAAAAGAGTAAAATGATATTTAAGACAAACAAAAATACTTTAAGACTAGAAGAAAGCTTGACTATAAGGCTTCTAAATGAGGAGAGAGTCACAATCCTACAAAGGAAGAAAGAGGACGAAATAAAATACCATGTCAGCCGACTGGGTAATAGAAAATAATTATATTTGAGATCCTAATCAGTCAAAAGATAAAAATCTACCTCAAAGCAAACACTTGCATCAAAGTATTAAATATAAAACAAAATACCAAAATAGATGCTTTCAATGAATGTAAACTGTCTTAATAAAAATATAAATGAACTTATGCTTCAAACTTTGTTCAAGAGGAATGGAATCGCCATGAGCATAAAATATAGCCAAGCAACAACAATTTAGAAAATATTCAAATAGTAAAATTGAAAATGGTATTAATTCTGAACCAAAAAAACGTAAGTATGATGCAGATAATGCTGATTTAGCTCACCTTGCATAAATAATGCATTAAAGTCGATTTGTTATTCCTTGCACGAGTATCGGACAATTTCAGAAGGCTGTCCAGCCTAAAACCCACAGCAGAACCTAGAAAATAAAAAAGAAAAGAAAAGTCCCTTTCAAACTTCTAGTGTTTAGAAAATATGCCAAGAAAGCCATAAACTATAGATGTACCTCTTGCTGTGCCTTGATTCAAAGCATTTCCTAACGTAAGAATAGTCTGCATAATTTGTCGTAATTTGGCAGAACTTTTTACCTAAAATGAAAGACAACTTTGTAATACACAGAGTGAAGTCAAACAAAATTTATGGCGGGTTAAGATTACCTCGGTGGAGGCATCATTAATGATATTCAGATTAGACCGCAGCTCATTCACCTAATGAAATTCAGTAATAATTGAAATACAGGTATACACAAGCATGCTCAAGATACTAATCTCTATAAAATGATTAACATACCTGTGTGGAAAAGGCAATTCTAAAGGAAAATACCCTCAACTTGGATTCTACTCGGGGAACCTTCATGAGCTCAAGAAAGAACTGGCAGGATTGTCAAAATGTTTTTCAGTCAGACTAAAAATGGAAAATGAAGAGAGCTATCAATATTATAAACTACCTGCTCACACTTTCCCAGCATTTCTTTGTTTCCAGAGTAGTTCTGCAAAATTACAGAAGCGAGTAATACAAAAAGTAAATTGAATTTCGCTAGCATGGAAAATTAAATGACATCGGATCTGACTAACAATATTTAGTTTTTGGCAATGTAAAGCAATTGATTAAAGCATGATTGAGCAATCTTTAAAATAATGTCAGATCGACATACCCATCAACATAAACATTAGAGACATTCAGCTTAAAGTTGAATGGGGAAAATGAGATCACAATTTACAAACCTCAACATTTTCTTCATGCTCTAAATGGCATTGTCATGGTAGGCATGTTGACCAATTATTATTTAAGATAATTAAATAACTCACCGGCCCATGTCATCCCACCCATTTCCCTCGACTCTCTCGCACTCACATTTGCACCAACCCAAAGTTTTGAATCAATTGACAAAAAATAAGTGATAAGTCGAGCAGGAGCTGGTTTGGAGAAGGCATCGGCTAGTTCATGAGCAAGCAAAGTTGAGGAAGCCATGATTTGAAGCTCATTGGAAAAAGTATTTGACAGGTCCAATCATGTGTTATGAAGAAGAGAAGATCATGGTATAGCTACCCGGCAAAGGCTAGAAGTGTTCAGCCGCACGTGGAGTAGAAGAAAAAGCATGTGCTCGCACATGAAGGATTGATGGGATTCACGACATGCAAAGGAAGAGGCATTCATGAGACTTATGGGCTTATGCTAAATATACCCAAAACCCAGATTTAATAAATCCAAATTTAAGGTAAAATGATGGAGAAATGGGATTTAAAACTTCATAAGATTTAAAATTTTATTGTCCCACATTAAAAAAAATAAGGAAAACAAAAAGAAATAAGAAGAGAAAGAAAAAAAGTGAGAAGAAGACAAAAAAGAGAAGGAAAAAAGAGAATTAAAAAAAATGAAGAAAGAGGGTTTGTATTTTGAGCTCTCCATAACATCGCCACTGCCTTGTTATTTACAAAGTTGCTTTGCACGAAAGTACAAAATGAAAAGCAAGCTCAGGCCTCCATGTAAGTACCCATACACAACTTCTTGACATGGCGGGAAATATTTTATACTTATGTATTTCGTGCAAGCCATCCAAAGTAATCCATATACGAATTCTATGAAATGGTGAGAAGGCTTATTCACGGCTTTCTTGGTGCGGAGGAAGTAGCAGACCTAGACTGCCAAAAAATTAAGTAAATGCACACTTATTTCTTGATGCAGTGAAATTTTATTTTATAAAATTTGTGAGGTAAAGATAAATAAACGTCTTTCTTAGCATGATCAGGGTAGAGGACAGGATCATAATGTTTACACCACCCATACACACCTTTCATGGTATGATAGGCAAGCCTAATGACAAGTCCTGAAATAACGAACTTAAATGAATTTATGAACCCAAAACCACGAAGTAAGGAAAAATAAAAACTTCAAAATGGCATAAAAGTGGTGCTTAAAAAACTAGAAATGAATAAAAATTGAACACGGGACCAGATTTGTAGGGGACTTATGATGAACTTGAAATAGAGCTTACGAGCACAAAACCTCCCCACTACTCCTAAGAGCTCTTTTGAACACTCAGAAATCTCACTAACACACTTGCTAAATTGAGCTTGTAATGACAATGAAATAAGATGGATTTCTATTTATAGACAGAAAAATGATTCCCTGCAATGCCCACCCAAGTAAAATATAAGTCACATACAAACAAATTGGCTCTTTCAAAACTCGTAATGAATTCCAACTCCTATAATTCGCAATTGGATCAACAATACACACCCAAGCAAATAAAAAGCGATCAATAATGAACTCAAAAATGCAAAGTCAAGTGTGTTTCAAGGATAATGAATTCACATGAATAATTGACACATCAGGTCCATGCACACCTCAAACAATTGTGACTTCAATAGAATAGCTTTAAGACGTTAAATTGGTCTAGCCGACTACGCATCACTGGTTATATAAGTGTTTTAATCAGCATATGCATCAATCATTAAAAGGAGGTGATATATGTCTCAAAATGCATCATGCTCCCGCAAGCATTTTTTTCTAAATAAGATGAACGGTTCATTTTTGTGTGTCATGGGTTGTAGGGTCATTTTGTAAAGACTGCACGTCAAAACATTAAAAGAAAATTTTTCTGCATGTACTCTAATAAGTGTGGCCAAATCCAAAGAATGCTACAAGAACTAAAAACAAAATGAATTGTCATGCTATGAGAACCGTACAATCATTTTAAAACACATGCAATTACTTTAAAATATTTACAAACCCACATTTAAAGATCAAAATTATTAGTATGTTGCATGATGTTCTCAAGCGAGCCATCTTGCCTATATGGCAGGGTCGTAAGTCCCACATTTTAAATCTGATCCTAATAAGGACTAGAGTCAACAAGACTTGAACCACATGACCAGAATCCATTGATGAGCCAAAAATAACACAACTTTTCATTTTATGTTTGCATAATGTTCTCAAAGCCCCTTTAACAAAATAAATATATTTTCAAAAGAAAAGCAAACTCCTGATCGCATACCTACAAGACAAAATCATAAGTGCTAATGTAGAGACAAACCAACATATAAAAGGTAGAGTTGACAAGATCTGTAACATAAATATGCCCATAAACCTTGAGTAAATAAACATGTAATCCAAATCCTAAAAAAATCAAGTACAACCATTCAGATAGCACCATGATTAACCTTTTTGTCATAAATAATAACCAAAGATAGTTTATTTTAAAAATAAAGTTCTCTACATGTAAAAACAAGTTTTTTAAAATATCAAACCCCATGATGGGCATGCTCAACTTAAATCATAATCAGAGGTGGTTTATTCTAGAAATCAAGTTATCTACCTGACATGACAAGTGTTTTCAAATATCAAACCCCAATAAAGACCGCATTGACAAGAAATATCAACAGGAAAGAATCCTATTTTATAAATGTCCATAAATCCCATAACAAATTATTTGCAGCTTAAATCATGCTAAAAGTATAAAAATCTTATATTCATAAAATTTTAGAAATATTTCAAGCAAAATTAATCATCACAAGCTTAAAGCAACAATCGTTCACCCTTCGCAATGTTGATACAATTTTCGTATCAACTCGACTCTGATTGAGTTGAATCGGATATGTCGGTTTTGATTGAACCTAATCAACTCAAGTGAGCCCTGTTGAACCCAAATCGACTCCAATTAAGTTCAATTGAATTCAAAATCAAATCGGTTTTGATTCGAGCCCAATTGCATAAAATTGACTCGATCAAATTAAATTAAATAGATCCAAATTGGGCTCAAATCTACTTCCAATCAGCTGTTTAAAATCAACGGCTCCAATTCTTTTGAAATTTTCTCCTTGTGTGTGCAGCTTTTCGCGTCAAATCCCATAGGACCAATTAATCAAGAAGAAGATCCTTCCAAATTCAAGAAAATGAGCGTCTTAGGATTTATCTGCTTTTTGCGTGCATCCTAGAGAAGTCGAGAGAGGGAGAGAGGCCTTCTTTCATTCCTACGTGCGTCCAAAGGAAAGAAATTGAGAGCCTTCTACGTGCTCTCTGCATGTACGCATTCAACCCGAGTGGACAGGATAAAATCAAGAGGCAGCAGACTCGGGAGTATGTTCGAGATATCAAGAGCGAAGCCGAGCGAATAGCCCTTCTAGCATGCATGCGACCTAGAGAAACACAGGAGCTTCTTCTATTGCCCTTAGATTGAGAGAGGGAAATTCCTCTTTATTGTTGTCATTTTTCCAAGCAAAAGAGCACAAACTTGCTATTTGCTCTCTTTAAACAAAAAGAGGGAGGGCATGAGGACAGAGGAGGCATTTTGAGGTCGTTTGCTTGTTGCAGGAGATTTTTCTTCCTCACATGCCAACTTTGGCAAGCTCGTGGCAGCGGAAGGCAGCACCTAAAGACGTTTGGACAACAAACTCGTTCCTTCATCTCCTGCATTCTCTCTTTTTCAAGGCGAGAGCATACCGGCTTGCACTATAACGTGCTCCGGTGAGATATATATCTCAAAACATAAAAAACTTAGGTCTATCGGCCTCTTGAATGTGTGATTGACGCTCCCAACAATGATAGGACCTTGTAGTAGCTTAATTTGTGCTCTCCAAAAACTCAAATATTTGTTGTCCTCTTAAAAAAATTATGAAAATATGATAATTTCGCACAATTTTTTCTCATTTAAGAGTCAAAAGAGGAAGGCGGCAAAGCGTCGGTTGTTAAACTTGTCTCTAATATCCCTAGCATGAATGAAATAGCATTCATTTTGCATTCCAACACTGTCTACGATAAAACACTAGGTTAAACGTTTTTTAATTTAAAATCAAATGTTAGATTGTATGTTTTCCAAATATTGCAAGTTACATATATTCCTACCCAATATTTGTGTTGTGCCAAAAATGACAGCTTATAGAACTTCACATTTGATAAAGCTTGTGGATATTTCTAGAGTTTTGTTGGAGGCTCAAAGTTATATTTGATTGATTGACGAGACGATTAAATTATTGTAAGATTTCTTGTATGGTTCAATGGCTTGTGTTGCAAAACCTACAAAAAAATAAAATTAATCAAATGTAAATTTATTGTTTTACAAAATTTGAAATAATCATGCATAGTCAATGTGTCTCATATAGAAATCCCTCATTTAAGCATAAAATAAGAAAACAATTTATATTCAGTAAGTCAGCATATGAATGCCTATATGATCAGGCATCTTGGTCTTAAAAATAAATTGCAAGTTATATCCTTTAAATCAAAACAGCATCCCTATCTTCATATGCATTAAGACCAGACCTCATGATTTTAAAAGCGTTTAGGTGGGTTTAGCTGGTGGTATTTTCCAAGCAAAGTTGTAAATCTAAAGGTCAGACTAACTTATGCTACATGTGAGGTATAAATTCATAACTCCCCTACACTCTGTTAGACTTAAATTTGAGTTACTACCCTTCAGCAGTCATCACCTTAGATCTAGGATCAACATATGAGGGCTTATGAGATTAGAGTCAACCTTAGCCTCGAATC